TCTCTCTCTCTCTCTCTCTCTCTCTCTCTCTCTCTCTCTCTCTCTCTCTCTCTCTCTGGCGGAATGGAGTCTGTCTACCTCGTCTAGCGAAGTCTCTCTCTAGAGGAGTGTCTCTCTCTCGTCAGACACTCGCAAAGAGATCCAGTGAGAACTCTGGTGCTAGCGTGCTGGCTATTCTTCTCTGCTACCGTGTTCCACGATCATCTTGTCGGCCGGTGAGCGTGTCCCCAGTCCCCCAACCACTGTCCCATGAACCGCTTAGTACGGCGCTTACATCCGTGGAGGTGCCTCGGCCCTACCGCACGGGAACCGCCCCACAAGAATTGCCGCACCCAGTCACTGCACCACTCTCCAAATGTGCAAAATGAGACTAAACAATTTCCACCTCTTTTGTCTTTTGTGCATGTGGAGAGTAGTGCAGCAAGGCCCCCAGTCACAGCGGAGTTTATAAGGCGCCGCCAAGCTGATTTTGCACGTGCGGATGTGGTTCAGGAGGCAGAACATGCCTGCAGGGCTCTGACCGTATTTCACAGCCCCGATATTTTATTCCACGTATTTAGTGCCGCTCTGACCGTGTTTATGATGTCCAAATTTTACAGCCGTATTTAGTGCCGCTCTGACCGTGTTTATGATGTCCAAATTTCACAGCCCCGATATTTTATTCCACGTACTTAGTGCCGCTCAACGTCACACTGGCTAGGAAACCGAACCTATTCGTTGGCAGTGGACTTGGCCCCCGGCCTTCTCTTGTAGCACTCACCCATGCGGTGAGTGGTCAAGTGTGGCGAGTGGTGGAGCAAGGGCCCACTTTTGATGAGAAACGTCCCATGATGAGTACTCACCACGGGAAATCAAGTTTGGTGACTGGTGGAGCGAGGCCGTTGCTCCTTCTTCGCTCCTTTCTCCTTCTTCACTCCACCACGGTACATCCCCAGGGTGTGAACGAGCCTCAGGTACAGGGAGTGGAACTGGTTCTATATAAGCTGCTACCACATCTTGGGGTCTTTACTGCAACCTCTCTTTACCTCTCCTTCCCCTTCATTGCCCCCCAGCCCCCGCTGCTCTCTCTCTCTCTCTCTCTCTCTCTCTCTCTCTCTCTCTCTCTCTCTCTCTCTCTCGCTCGCTCGCTCGCTCGCTCGCTCACTCGCTCACACACACACACACACACACACACACACACACACACACACACACACACATATGTACACAGACAATCTCTAGTGGCGCTTGTGCCTCCGTCCGGCTTACGCTCTCCGTTCTAGTTGCCTCTCCATCAGCCAGGGAAGTTCTCCGGTCTAGATGTTTCTCAATCAGCCAGGGTGGGTGTAGAAAGGAAATGGAGATGCAGGAGTTGGAGGAGCGGGTGATTGTCCCCTCCATACCAACGGATCCCCACGTGCAATGGCTATCTAACGTGGACCAGGTAAGTCTACGTACTATTCTGATGAGGGGTTACTATTACCCTGGGCCAGATGCAGGGAAGATGGTAGATGTAGATCGTCTAGCAACATCCCTATCGGAGACACTCACTCTGTATCCTGTCCTAGCGAGACGCTTGAGGATGAAAGACAACGGCGCACTTGAGGTCGAGTGTAATGACGCAGGAGCTCTTCTAGTGATGGCTATGGCGGACGGCAGGCTGGACGAACCCAGCAGCGGGCTTTCTTGCCATCCCCATCCCATCTCCCTTCCGATAGACTTAAGATGGACCGCTTCAGCTCTGGCCGCAAGTGCCAAAGGGCCGGAAGATCGTGTGGGGAGGGCAATCAACAGGGGGGACTTTATATTTTTAGTAAAGGTGACAACTTTCCGATGTGGAGGGGTCAGCATCGTGTCCGCCTTCATCACGCCGTAGCGGACGGGCGTGCCATGGCTGAGTTCATGAACTCGTGGGCGGAAACCATGCGGTGAGGGATCGAGTCCTCTCAGAAGGGACGCTGTTTGACCGACTCTCCCGCCAAGGAAAGTTTGCCTCCCATCCACGATCGCGCTCTTCTTAAGCCCCGCGCGCTGCCAAGAGTCCAGCGCCCTCCTACAGGCCTAATCCTTGCCCAGCCTTCAGCGGCCCCTCCACCTCCACATCCCAGCATTGCCAAGCCGGGATCTGAAGGGGGTTTGCAATCGGGATTGGAGGCGGTGGCGCCCAAACGAGTCCCCACTCCACCGGGGCTCCCTGACATGTCGATGCACTTGCGGTATTTCACCGAATAAGAGTTGGCCGCTCTCAAACGGACGGCAGAGGAGGACAGAAGTCAATGACGTTCGAGCCATTACACAGAGGTGAGGAGGTCATATTACAGCCTTCCTTTCCTTCTCACCACCACCTCCTCCTCCTCCAACCGCTCTTCCTCCTCCCCTCCTTACCCGGAGTGGCCTCCTTCTTCTCCACTGTCACCTGCTGACTTTTCCTTCTCCTTCCTTTCTCCTTCCCTTCTCCTTCCTTTCTCCTTCTCTTTTCCTTCCTCTGTCCTCCTCCTCCTCCTCCTCCTCCATGTTTTTCTTCTGCATCTTTGTCTTCTCTCCTTTCTCTCCTCTTCTCAGTCTGCTCACCTTCTCCGGTTCCTGTTTTCCGGCTCTTTCTCCTTCCCTTCCCCTTGTCAATCCCCTCCMCTCYATCTGCTCGTCTTTCCTTTCCATCTTCTCGGTCTTCTCGTGCTCTTGCTCCATTTCGTTTTTCTGCATCTTCTTCTCTTTTCTCTCCTCTCCTCCCGTGTGTCCCCATAACGGGGCCCGGGCCGCCAGCCTGTTTCATCGGACATTCTGCCCAGGATGCATTTGACGGATGGATAAGGACTCGCCCCGTTGCCCCCTCGCGCACTCGTGCGTGTGTGCGTGCGTGTGTGTGTGTGTGCGTGTGTGTGTGTGTGTGTGTGTGTGTGTGTGTGTGTGTGTGTGTGTTTGCCTGTGTGTGTGCGTGCGTGTGCGTTTGCGTGTGCGTGTGCGTGTGCGTGTGCGTGTGCGTGTGCGTGCGTGCGTGCGTGCGTGCGTGCGTGCATGCGTGCGCGCGTGTTGTCATGTTCGCTATACACAAATCCACAAAAAGAGCATGACTGTGCTGCAACTGTTTCGTCAGACTTTTCACCTAGAGGGGTGTGTGTGTGTGTGTGTGTGTGTGTGTGTGTGTGTGTGTGTGTGTGTGTTTGCGTGTGCGTGTGCGTCCGTGTGCGTGCGGGTGTGTGCGTGCCGGCGTGTGTTTGTGCGTGCGAGCTTGTGTGCGTGTGCGTGTGCGTGTGCGTGTGCGTGTGCGTGTGCGCGTGCATGTGTGTGCGGGTGTGTGCATGTGCGTGCTCTGTAACACCCCCGGTTATGACCGAGGGCTTTCAAAACCCGCCGCGGATTAGCATGGCCGGGGATGGAGCTTCGTCAACGGGGTATGACCGCCAGTCGCAGTTGTGGGCGAGGTGCAGGGTCGCACGCTCTCCTCCTCTCCTCTCCTCCCCCTCCCTCTCCTTCCCCTCCATCTTCTCAGTCTTCGCCGTCTCTGCCTCCACGTCTTTCTCCTCGTTCTCCTTTTCTTCCTCTCCTCCTCTTCTGGCGTGTCCTCCGTCCCCGCCATCTTCTCCTTCTCTTCTTCCTTTTGCTGCGGGAGATATATACCAATGGGTTCTTCGTCTGCTGATCCTCATGCAGGTGCTGGCGATGGTGGCCATGGTGCTGGTGATGATCTTGGTGTGGAAGGCGAGACCAGAGTTGACGTCAATTCTATTTCTCCTATCGACCCAGCAGCTCAGCGATTCACTACGAACGATGTCCTCATGGCTCATCTGTGGAAATGCGTCACTCGGGCAAGAGGCCTCCACGTGTCCAAAGCAGATGAAAAAGAAGAAGACGAAGGAGAGGATTGTGCTGACGTGTCCAGCGCTTGCTCTTACCCGTGCCAGTCGGGAGAAGATGGCAAACTGGTCAGACGAGGTACGGCGGTCGACGGTAGAAAGCGGTTGCGGCCTTGTCTTCATGAAGGATTTTTTGGCAACGTCATCTTTTGGTTTTGCGCTTCTGCGCCTGCTGGCCAGCTAGTGACGGAGTCGCTCGGCGAACGGCCCAAAGAATCAATCGGCCCGTACATGAGATGGTGGACGATAACCTTCGTGACACCATTGATTGGATCGAGCAACAGGACGATTTAACGGCTATCCAGCTCTCCTTCAGGCACTTTTTGGGACCGGACCTTGCCTGCACTAATTGGTCCCGTTTGCCTGTCTACGATTGCGATTTCGGGTGGGGACCACCAGTGTTCGTCGGCCACCCGCCGATTGAATCGGATGGACTCGTCGTCATCACTGCTGCGGGGAAGAAGCAGCAAGCATCCGGCTATGGCGGTGGCGGTTTGTTCGTGACACTTTGCCTGCGGACCGAGCACATGAATAACCTGAAATCGGATCCCCATTTCATCGAGCGCCATACGTGAAACGAAAAAAAAAAATCTGAAAGAAAAAAAGGGAGAAAGAAAAGAGTCGAAGAAGTGTGATACTCGATAGTGCTGGCTGCCTCTTGAACACATAAGGACCCACGATTCTTTTTTTTCCCTCTTTCGCTCTCTCTTTTTCCCCCTACTGCACTGTCTTCTAAATGTTTTATTTTGTTTCTGGACGAGTAGCGCATCATCATCACAGTTTGACGATAATGATGGGAGTGGGTCAGGATTCCACCTGTTCACCTGAGGGATGAACAGTTCTCGAAGAAGATGGGTGGGACCATTTTGACCCAGCGATCAACGATCGACGATTGGCGATCAATGATCAGCGATCAACAACGCTCTGAAACAAGGATGTCAACGCACTAAATAGAGGAGGGCTTTTTTTTTTTTTTTTTTTTTTTTTTTT